CACTTCAGGGAAGAAAAGGCTTTGCAAATAAGTAGCTTCCATGCCACAATATGCATGGCATGGCAGTGTGAATGCTTGACGTATTCACCATCAAATGGCAACATATATTTTACACGCACAAAAAAGAACACAAAAAAGAAAGTTCTAAGTGCTCTCATATGAACAAAATTACTATTTGGTGTTGAAAATAATCAAATGAAATAAAGTAATTTTTCTTCACTTTCTATTCAGCAAGGGAACATTTTAGTTATATATTTTATGTATAAAAAAATTAACCTGCTTTTTGAGGGATCCCAAAATAGAGAACAGTTAAAGGCAGTTTACAAGAAATTAAAAATAATTAAAATATAAATTAAGTAAAATTCTAAAATAGCAATCTTAAAATTATAGACAGCTTAAAAGCTACTACTTAAATGGGTACCCACTATCCACATCACAAGAATGTCTATCATACAGTAATTACAAATTACATTTGTTGAAATAGTGGTTCTTTTAAGACCATTGGCATTTTTGTTTTAAAAAGTTTAATCTTTCTGACAGTGCAGTTTTCAGTGTGGAGAAATTAAATTATCTATTTAGGAAAGAAAATGTTAGTTAACATCTAACAGCAAGATATCATCTTATGTACATATCAACAATTCCCAAATATATATATGTAAGATTCTAATCTATTCCTGGGCTGTAACTTCCCTTCCCTTAACAGGAGCCACAACTGTGTCTTCCATTGTAGAATTAACCAACTGCTTTTTTATAATTAGGAGACTTAAAAAATATACAGAAGCACATAACCAATTCATGCTTATTGTAATATCAAGAAAATCTAGCTCTGGACACAATTAGGAAACATAGATGATCTATAGTATCTCTAAATTATAAATCAAAGGTAATGATTCCTATGAAAAAACCGTTTTAACACAGGCAACAGCTCATTTCAAAGTAGCTTGTTATTAATAATGATGATGGGTCTTGTCTAAATGTTCTTTAATATTATTTTTAAAATGCATATATGTGCTATGTGATTAGGACAGTAATGATGAATGGAGGGTTGTTTTTGCTGCTGTCCCTTTAAGAGAGATATTTAGTACTTTCAAGTGATTAACCTTCTTTTAAACTATTTGAAAATTCAACTAACAGAAAAAGCCACGTTTCCTAAAAGTATGGTTATTTCTCTTGTCTTTTCTAGCATTTAAAAGAAAAGATATACAACGCCCAAAATTAATACAAAATGCCGTATGTGCTTTTTACTATGCAGGTGGAATTCATGGAAAACAAAATCTTAGGATCAGTGCCCCCAAATACACCATACAACTCAGTGACTACAATATTATAGGAAAGCAAAAAATACTAAGGATGGGTAACATGGAGAGGTTCTGACAACAAATATTTCTTGTTAATACACACTGCATAACCTTCTTTTGAAAACAGAAAAACTAAAGAAGCATACAGGTTTGAAGTCATGGTTAACATTCTATCATAATTAGAAACATTTCAAGAGCCCTGTAATTTCCAATCAAAATTACAGTAATTTCCAATACACAAGCCATGATTCATGACAGAATTTTACATTCCACAAGAGATTGTAGTGGCCTGATGTATGACACAGTGAGTGCAACGCTAACATAAACAATTCAGTTTAATGTTTAAACAGCACTTGGTGTTTAGAATCCTACAATAAAAGAAACATATTATTGCAGAAATTATCACTTTGACAGTGATTGAAGGGTAGGCAGGCATGTGGCCTGTAAAGCTGTAATTTTTTACAGTCCACAGCTTGAGTTTAATCATTTTGATGTAACATTTCCAAAATATCCTTTTAAGTATTCCTTACAGCATATAACTTTAAAAAGAAACATCTTTTTTATATAATGAAAGATGGAGCAATTCCCAACTGCAAACATTTCCAAACTTACAGCTTAAATAACAAAGCAAACTGCAACAACAGAATATAAAGTGCACCACATATAAAGAAAGGTGACATTCAGTCAATTTAGCCAGGACGGAAAAATGTTTCCCTCCTTTTAGTGGAGAAGTGGATACCATATTTGACCTTACAGGTCAACTTTGCATTTTGATACCTGGTTTCTTCATACTGTCAGAATAATTTAAATGTAGACATGTGTTCCAAGAATACAGGTCAGCTAGCAAAATTAAGGCCAAATTTATAATTCATATATTTTAATTCTGCATGACATTTATTCAGACAAAAATTTGGGATGTCAATTTTATCAGCAGTGAATTCTCACGATTTAATCCACATTTTTACTCAACATCATTAAAAGTTGTGTGTGTATGTGTATGTTTATACACATTGTGTACATTTGCACAATATGCAAATGGTAGAAGTTTTAACTGTATAATCATTGTACAAAAAGTATGGATAACGATTAATCAAGCCATAAAGTATGAACAATCTACATTAATATAGTTACACAGTCACCCTTTAGTAACAGTGGACTTACCTAAGGATATTTATTGTGACAAGCTATTAATTTATATAAAAACCAGGTGACTAAACAAGGTAACAATTTTGTAGACAGAACTTTATTGTTCAAGGAGATACAAACTCATAAAGTTACTCCAGCGCTCTGAAAGGATTCTGTCATCTAAATGGCAGTTAAAATGTATTAAAATGAAATTTTAAATTTTAACTATTATTGTTGTTGTCATTCTTTCTAATTCATCCAATAACCAAAGTAATTTGAAATGGACGTTTACTCCAAAGTAAATCAATTGGTATTTATGGGACATACTCTATCATTCCAGGTATGATACTGAAGTGACTTCAGGTCAAAGTTTTGGACTGTCTAAAGGCATACTGCAGGTTTTGATTCAGTGTGCTCTAAGAATAATAAAGACAAACTCAAATTTACAAATAGGAAAAGTACCTTAGCTATATAAAGCAACATCGTGTTTGAAGGTGCACTAAAGTTTGGGTATGGGGAACGGAAATCCATCAAAGACACAAAGTTAGTTATTAAACATGACCAAGTCAGAATCCAAAATACTGTCACAATGTGTTCAAGCAATATTTTGAACAAACATGCGTTGTACATTCAGTCTTTGATTGTCTTCATTTTTGGTATCCTGAACTCAAACCACAAACTATTCAATCTGAACTGGAAACTATCATGATTTTGTTTTGATTTTGTTTGAAATAAACTAGAGTACTATTTAAGGGTGACTCATATGTATTGTATTTCAAGCCACATATTCTTAATTATAAAGTCTATGCCAGAGTTTTCTTTTTAAAAAATGTAACATTTAATGAACATTAAAAAAACAGAGCTAATTTGGTATAACTATTAAAACTTGATACTGTACAGCTATTTTGGAATATTTTCTCATTGTAACTTACTATTGGCCATGTTGGATGTGGTTTATGGGTGAGGGAGTTCAAAACAGATGAAAAGAACTAAGTTGCCTATCCTACATTAGAGTGGTATATTAGGAACAGGGAGATTCAGGTTAAAATCCTCCATAAAATCAGCCATAGAGAACACCAAGTCTTGTTGAGCCAGTTAGCTGAACACCATTTGTTAGATGTTGGACAGAAAAAATGGGTGAAATGAATACATGGATATGCTGACTTGAACTGTTGAAGAAAGACAGGATAGGAATTTAATATTCAGAGTTAATATACTTGTAACCCTGTTGGGTTTTAGGGCTTGCAAAAAAATATTTCAGGGCATCAGAGTAGAACCTCGTCATTACCAAAAAATATCCTTGGATCCCCTGATCAAGATGTAAAGCTTTAGCGATAGAATGCTGGCTGTGTTCACGTGATTTTTTTCCTCCCATTTGTCTCTCATGGAACCCCAGCAAGTTCTTGTGGAAACCTAGGGTTCCAAGAAGCAGTTTGAAAAACCCATCGCTAAACCAAACACATTGTTTCCCAGGATCATGCTGTGAATTCAGGAAAAGGCACAGTCGTTTTAAGATATTGCTGACAAGTTGCTACTTGAATGTCACCATGTGCAGCGAAGCACTGCACAGTTCTACTGGCTTTATCTTAGAAACACACAGTTTGGAAGCACCACCTTTTCCTCACTGCTGAAAAAAATCAAAATTTTTCTTCTTGAGTTACATGTGTTTTCTAACATTTCTCTTATCAAAATATTCTTGAACATATCCTCTGCTGATTTAGATACTAAAATCGTTAGTTTGTACTTGTTTCCATCTTAATAAATAAATCTAAAAATCTTGGAACTGTTCAACATGTTGAACGATGAAACATTTTATTTGACTTGTCCTTCATGGCTGCAGCAAACCAAGATTTCATCAAAATGCCAAACATGCATAGGGATGTCATGGTGAAAGCTCCATGCCTTACAAAAGGGGCAGGGTTTATGTTGCAACACTGATGCGCATTTTGTTATTTGCTCCCCATTGCTTCCCTGGGCACCCATGACAGCAGGTCATGAATCAAGCTATAAAGTATATCAGGCTAACTAGAATCCACTTATAATAAAGCAGTCCTTGGAGAAGTTCTAAAACCCAAGCTTGCATCAAATTTCGCTTCTTTATGAAATTATCCTCTAACTAACCTCCCCCCGCAATATTCTCTCACCTTTGTATTCCTTTCACTTAAATATGGACGCTATTTTCTGAGTGTTTCAGAAAGGTCTATGCTTACATGTGGAATAACCATTAAGCTTTCTAGTCTTAAGTAAAGAGAAGAAGACTAGGTTGGGGAAATAGAAAAGAAAGGACTGCAGGATATTCAGACTTGCACCTGTACAGAGGGGTAACGTTAATGAGTTAAAAGGCTATGATTTGAACTGTACATCATTGGTCTACATAACAGTATTTCAACATACTGCCAGCAACTATGTCATGTTTTAGGAAAAATACAGTCAGCTAAAGACATCTTGACCTCCACTCTAGAGAAGCCAGTTAATTTGTTATTTAATTTGATTTTATCCATATAGTCAGTCCAACTAAACTGAACAATGAAAAAGCAAGAAGAACAACATTAATTCACAGATGACCATAAGACTTACCTGGCTTTTAGTCGCTGCAACCTTTGCAAATAATGCTTGAGATACTTTAGCTCTCTTCATTTCCTGTTGGATCTCATCATAAATGGAAGCATTAATGTTCATGGTATTATTTTCAGGTTTTCCGTTTCTTTCTGTTGAAATAGCAGTTGTTTTTACCTAGAAATATGATATATCATTATTCAACAGATAAAAAAGATGCCCAGTTAAGAGGCACTGTAACTGTCGGCACACACTAGAGTTTAAGTGCTCTTAATTAGAAATAAGTTCCACTGAAATCAAGAGGGCTTACTTTCAAACCCGATTATAATAATAAGGTGAAATAATTATATATTTCCTATAACAAGACACTTCCAAATGTTTAAATAACGGGCCAACAGAGACATGTAGAGCTTTAAGTGAACTTCTCTATTTCATCTTCAAAAAGAGAGGCTCTCTGAAGATGAAAAAAGGACCTTTTGAAGTTGCTTCAGTTATCAGAAACCTGAGGTTTTGTTTGTTTTTTGTATATATGATAGGCCCTTCTGCATTGTACCCAGGCAAAAGAAAGTTATCCCTTGGAAGTCCTCTTTGGCCCCCATTCTCAACGCATATAGAGGATCTGTAAAGATGCCTCTCTTTGCCACACTTTTGTTATAGATTTTAGGGTTTTTTAAACTTTAACTTTTTACATTTTTATTTTTTAATGTTGTTAGCTGTCCTGAATATTCTGCTGGCTTAGAGTAGAAGAGTGGGTATAAACTAACCATTTAATAATAACAGTAGTAATAATAAATACATTTGAATCGAAAAATGGCACGCAGCTTTCCAAATTGTCCCTTTTTCTTGAGATTATCCATTTTCAGTAAGACAGTATTGCTAATTTAACTTCACAGATTGATAAAAGATCATATACGTTAAGCATACGTGTGTATATGTGTGTGTGTGTGTGTAATTATTATTACTTATTAATCCATATGATACCTGAATACATCAGATTCAGATATGACATTTGAAGACATGCTGCCTGAAATTGATCCATTTTTTTTGTAGTGGACTTAAAGTGAGATGATCAGAGCTCAAAATGTATGAACTTTCATAAATTCATTCAGTAATTCTACAGTCATCACAGTATTTCAAATTTGTAGTGTTAGTGAGAAAATGAAAAAAGGCAGATAATTCTTATGATCTTGCAGTAAATGAGTAGCACAGACATGCAATGAGCAAAATAAAATTAGAGATCAACAAATTGTGCCCAGACTTCATAATAATATTATTTCTAACCAGCCAGTCAGATTCTAGTAAAAGTGACTATCAAATAGAATGTTTCCTGCTTCTTTAAATGGTCCTTCCCTCCCTATAGTTTTAAGGAGAATTATTTATATGGCAGATGAATTAAATAAATGCTTCTCTGCACGTTTTCCTAATTTCCTTTGTAATTTTTTTTTTAAACCACAAAGAGGAATATTTACTTGGCATTTTTATCAGAGCTAGTCTCTTAAAACATTCAGACTTTATGGACAATTTCAAGGCAAAGTAAATCCTACAGTGATCCTTAAAAGTTGTGAACCCATTTGAGTTTTCAGTATTTCTGCATAAATATGACCAAAAACATGATCTGTTCTCTGCACAAGTCCTAAAACTAGATAAACAGAACACAGTTAAACAAATGAGTAAAAATACTTGTTTATTTATTAAGGAAAATAGTCCAAAGCTATATATTTGTGTGTGGCAAAAGTATGTGAACCTCTAGGATTATCAGTTCATTTGAAGGGGAAATTAGAATCAAGTGTTTC